TTTCACATGTATGTGATTCCTTACCCGTTATCCTTTGTACTGTACAGGCTGCAGTGCCAATTTGATAATTACACTCCAAACGCTTTTAAGTGAGGGTACAGTGTAAAAATCATATATGTAGAAGGACCTTGAGATCACCTTGTCACGATTTTTCAACTTCCTGAAATATAAAGGCAGCTAAACCTTTGATAGCAATGTCAGAGACCATCTTTACCTTGGGTGCACTAATGGGCTTTTTAATTTCAAACAGAAACTGTTGACTTGCTGAGGGTGATGGTTCTCTGTGTAATACTATTCCTGGGGCATCAAAAATGGAAAAAAAATTCCCTGAGGGAAAACTGCAGACTTACGTCATTAGTGCATGGGTAAAACCAGTTTTGCTTTCACCTAGCCAAGGTATCAATAGTTTAATGGGATGGAACTCTCCATCCCTGCATCTTGTTCAGCCACAGGGATCTCTTTGCTTCTACCACTTGACGTCTCCAGTCAGAGCTGAGGAATTTACATCTTTCTGCAATATTCTCAACTTCTTGCCATATTCCAGCTCCCAAAACACAACCTTAATTAATGCTTCACGTGGTTCAGCTGCTTTTCTGCTCTTTGCAACTTTTTCTACACTCAGGTGTTTTTCCTGCCATAACTTTATTCTGTAGTGCTTTTCTGGGTTCATGTAACTGCTGGGAATGTCAAAGCAATACATGGAGTTTTAAGGCAGAGTCCCCTGATAGATATTTAAAAGCTATACTATGACAATTTGCTTTGCAATCCATGAAGTCAACCAGGACCTCAGAGGACAGCTTAGAATTTAAAGGAAATACAGGAACATTTCCACTAATTTTCCCCAAATACCTGTGCTCAGAGCAACTGCTTCTTCTGTCTTTCTCTTAACTGTCTTATTGCAACATTGGCAATTTTACAGAAATGTCCTTATTTAGCCAACCAGCTTACAGAAACACAGCTTTCCATTGAAGACTAATTTAAAGTCTCAAGCATATGTCCTCAGCTGTTACAAAATTATGCCACTAAATGCAATAGGCTCTGTCATTTTACATCAGCTGAGAATCTACTTGCAAGGGCAAAATAAGTAGCTGCAGCTGCAGTTCTCTTCCTTGGGAGTTGCCCCTCATACACAACTGGTTGCAGGTGGATGAGAGTTGGTATTTAAAAATGGCAAGTTTTTTGTCTTTTTTTTTTCTTTAATACTTCTGGTAAAGTCATTCATGTGCTTTCTGATGGCTGCCCAGAGCCTGTAACCCACCATACTCCAGCTCAGAGGGAAGGATGTGGATGGACTTAGTTTGGAAAACAGATTACTAGATAATAAATGAAATATTCTATCTCATACCATATGTGGAAGGAGAAAGATAAAATTGAAAATGTGACCCCTTTTTTCTTCAAATAATACAGTACCATTCAACAGACTTATTTATCCCTAAAGACACATCTAATAATTGTTGGCCTGTCAATCAAAAACCTTATTAAACATGCACATGATGTCACACTACAGTCTAACAAATCTTCCTGCCAGTCAAAAACCTTTATATAGATTAATCTGATTTCAGATACAAGTTTTGTGTTTGACCTTTTACCCAACCTTTTCAAGGCTGTGATTAGAAAGGAGTTGGATCTTTCCTGTGTGCTACTGAGCTGGAATGATGGGGTCTGAGCTATCCCTGAGAGTTTCCCTCCTGGTCATGCTCTGCTTTATGCTGTAGCATGGAGCCTTGAAAAGGGGTATGCCTCAGGTGGCTGAGTGACCTGGGGTAGAATTGGTGCAAAGCAGTTAATGACAATGCTGGCTACTGGACACACCACCTGTTCCGCTGGGGTCTCCTAGAGTCACTCTTTCCTTCCCACAACCCAGACAAACTTAGTTTCTCACCTTTACAAGCAGGAAGTTGTGTTGTAGGAAGGCAATTATTCCACTGCACTTGACACCCTCTGCACTGCTGAAGACTGGGAAAGGTAGTGCCTTCCTACTGGACATGGCTGGTAAATCAAAACTTGGATGCACAGCTCCATTACAAACCACTTATTTGATGGTCATGAGATTAGAAGTTGGATATTGAATCTGAAGAAGTAATAAATTTATTAACAGATAATGCATCATGCTCTGTATACCCAGTTGCACTGGCACTTGTAGTCTTTTTTGAACTGAAATAAAAGCAAGTGGCAGGGGCTGAAGCTTTCAAGATAATATAATTTATCTTCTGAAAATCTACTATTCAGATGTCAAGCAGAACAATTTCACAATATATAGAAAAGATCTCATCTGGCATTGCTGTATTTTTATTGGTCTTTGATGTAACTCGAAAATATTAGGCCATATTGTGGTGTTCAATTTTCTATAGATTTTTCAGACAGACAAATGGAAAAAAATGTCTGTAATTAGACATCATTCCTAAAGCTGAGGGACTTTGGAGAAAACCACACAGCAAGCTTTCTTTGCATATACAACTTCAAAGTGCTTCCTAGATTCGTGAACTACAGGAAGACTTGAAGTCAGCAGGGTAAGTGTCAGTAAACAATGAGAAAAAATTTCTGCCTTCATGTCTGAAGGAGACATTTTTCCCTTCTGATAGAAGCTAAGCCTGAAATGTTCACATCTCCAGGACAAAGTGGCCATAGCAAGGTTGGCCTTGCAAGCACCATCTCGCACAGCCAGTGTAAGCGGCTTCAGTGCAGTTCTCCTTCTTGAGGAGTGCTTACAGAATAGGGGATTACTCACAGTTTTTTCTGGTTCAAAGGCAATTTGAAAACTTTCAGGTGATCTTCAGGTATCTTTCTTACAAGAACATGTCTACTAATGCAACATTAGTTGGCTCCATGGGAGAGGAATGAGAGAGGACCATCAATGGGTCAGCCCATAGATACCCCCAAAATAGGATGGCAAGTCTTAGCGCAGGACCCCAGTTGTGCCAAGGCTTTGTGGTTTTGAGCATTTGAATGTGTTTTGTGCATTTTCTTCTTTTTCTGCTTGATTTCCAGTCTTTGTACAAAAATGTTTCTTCTTCAAAGCTGACAGAGTTTAACATTTGTCCTTGCAATTAAAACAGCAAGAAATACCTAACCAGCCCCTTTCACAGAGGAATTAGGATGCACACAATTCCTAGTAAATTCACCTGATGAGATGGCTCCACTGAGCCTCTCCATCATGGCAGTGACTCTTGCTGCCTGACCCCAGGACACATAGCTGATGCCAGCTGTGACATAGCATAATTCTGCTCTGCACATGGGCTGCTACATGTCCAGGAGCTCATCAGGGATGAGTAGAGGGTTAATGAATGTTTGGGAGCTTGTTTCCAAAAAACATCTTGCTCAAAAGTCATAAAGAAGAAACTGGTCCTTACTGGGACAATCATCTAACTTGGAGTTAAAGCTTTAGGCTGCTCTTCTTTCACTTCCTCTTGGAGGAAGGTGAAACTTGTAGACTAGCAACAGTCTGCAGGACCTATGGGGAATCATAAAAGCAGTCTTATGTTTTCTGGCTGATACTTCTGCCATCCTGGTCCAACACTTGCAGTTATATTGATGTGTATGACATTAAACGGGATAAAAAGTTGCCCAGTTGTTGCCAGTTTTACTTTAATACTTTCTGCTGTGCTGGTCTAGATGATCTTCTGTGAATCCTATATAACTTTGTCACTGAACAGTTAAAGAGGCAGCACAGGGTGGCTCTGTCATCACTGCCAAATCTGTTTTTTTCCTGGGATAACATCATTTGGTGGTGGTCCTTTTCTTAGGATGACGTCTGTTCCTTGTTGTATTTATTACACCCTGTAGAACCCCCTGCTTATAATAAATCACATATTCTTAATAATATATAATTTCATAAAAATATAGTCTTTACTGAATGATGTTTGGTGGTCTGGGAAGGAGAGGCAAGTGAACTGCATTCCTCAAATGTTGCCTAGCAGGGCACATCTTCACTGGGGGATAGTTTTTACTAACCTCTTACACAAACAGAAAATCTTCATTAGTTCAGATGCCTTTTATTATAGTTTGAAGTCAGCAACAAAATAACAAAGAAATAAGAGAGCTCTCCATGCAAGAAAAAAGACACAACATCCTGCCTCTAAGGATTTGCAGGGCCTTGGAAATATGCTTAATTTAAACAGAAGTCTAGAAGTACTCTTAATTCAACCCAAGAGCAAGTTAACTCTGAAAGGGATTATCTTACTCTCTCCTTCCCTGGCCGTGGGGTCCCACTGCCCCTTTTGCACAGTTTCCATGCAGTGGGTTGGATTGGTGTGAGATGAAATCATTATTTCATAAGATCATTCACTTTACAAAGCTGTACTCTGGGATTCCATCATTAAAACCCCCACAAGTGGTCCTCTAAAAGCCCTGCTTTTAACCACGCCAGAGTAGCGAAAGAAGCCATTTATACATTTTCCCCAAAGACCCAGTCCTTCCATCAGTCCTCAGAGCAGTTTGCTGACTAAATCTTCTATGTATTTAAATAATTTATCATATGAATAAATACATTTATGCTAGGGGAAGAGGCTGACTGCTGGGATGCAGTAACGCCAACACAACAAAATTGAAGTTGGGGAGATGGAGGAAATGAACCTGTAACAATGGCAAGTGGTATCGTCTGCTCAGGCAGGAAGAGACAGCTGTGACCACATCTGAAATGCGAGTGTGGGGGCACACAGAGCAGCATCTAAAAAGGGCTTTAGAATTAGCAGAGCTGAGTAAAAAAGAAGCTGCTGGGTTTGAGCTGCAAAAATATGATTGTTATAAAATGACTGAAAATGAAATTGCAAGTTTTATGTGTAATTCCAAATTTTTCCGTTCGGCAAGTGTATAAGGAACATTCCCGTTCCTTTTACTTTCCACTGACATTTAAGAAACAGAAGACTCAACTCCTGCCAAACAATCTGTCACCCCAAGCCCTTGACCTGGGGAACAGATGAAGGCATGTTACAGATGCATGGAGAGCAGAGTGAAAATATTAAAAGCCAGATCTCGAGTAGTGTAAGCTGGCTGTGGTCCAGCTTACACCAGCTGCTGATCAGCTCCATAAAGATCTTACAGCAGTAACAGTTGGAACGGTGGTTTGCACGCAGTGAGCACTGAGGAGGGTTACCTAACTAGGCATGCTTTGCTTGCATTTGTGACCAGGAGATTAATTATATAAAGGATTTTTAAAATCCCTCTTCCTTTAGCTGTTCTTCAAAGAAATCATTAAATGCCACAGTCAAAGCAGCAACCAGAATGACAAATTCATTAAAATCCAATTCATTGTCATCATCGGAGTCCAGATCTTTCATAATCTTATCAACCAGGAGCGGGTCCTTTTGGCCCTAAAGAGAAAGAAAATTGACTTAGCTGTGCAGATATTGAATGTGTAATTCTGACACATCCAGCAGTACAGCCCACTGCTATGTTATGAGACTTGTGTTATTAAATAAAATGCAGCATCAAATATGCACCTGAACAGTAAAACACCATCAGAAACTGAAGACAGTGCAGCTCTTAGAAGGAATACAGGTACTAAATAGGCACTGAAATGAATCAAACAGATTTTAGGAGATGCTGAGCACGAATTCCTTTTGACAAAATAGATCTATAATGTGCATTTCTCTATCACCCTTTAACAAAACGTACTTAGATTTTCAACAAGCTATTCCTAAGTGGTCATATTATACATCCATTCATCAGATTCAGAAGATCTCATCTTGACAAACAACACATCCTATTCACGGAGAGTAAGAACACTGAATCTCAGAATAATAAATAATAGCCAATCTTAAAAGAAAATTCAATTCAAGAAAACAGATATAATGTAAAGAAAAATCCTGCTGGTGGTCATAGGGTCCACTATAATTTTTGCAATTAAGAGGATACATAAAAACATTATTATTAATGCTTTTGATTCCATAAAAGCGTCCATGCTGTGTAATGTAGAACACAAATGTGCAAAGAGATATTCAGATCAGCAGCTTATCACTGAAAGGCTTTTCTCCACATCCCTTCACAGGGCACACAAGCAACTGTACTGTGTGGCCAGTGTGCACAAGCTACTTTCCTGTCTCGTGAGAACTGGTTGCTGTATTTATATCTTCAAAGATTTATCTATGCCCTATTATTGAAAATGAAACAAACAAACAAACAAACAAATTAAAGCCTTATTGAGCATTGATTTTGTTGCTGCTTCTAGGCTGGTCTCGCCCTCCTACTCAAAAGTCCTGAGGAACACACAGAGCACAGGTACCCACCTCTGCTGCTGGTGGTGCATGGCAGGGCACTGGGGCTCGACCACTCTCTGAAAACACACTTCTTAAATGGGACATTTGACCTCATATCCTTCTGTACAGCTCCACAAAGAACTGTCATCTGAGAAGCTGTGGCAGGATGGGCCTTGCAGAAGGAGATGCTATCCCTACCCAAATACTTGCATAGCTGCTTATCCCACCCACGAAACAGTAATTGATGAGGTTCAGAAGATGCATCTTACTGAAAGGAAGTCAGTGAGCTCACTGGTGAGAAGCTCCTTGAGTTCTCCTTTACTAAGCTTGTATCTGTCTCCTTCTTTGCCAGAGTAGTGATGGAAAATCTTGATCAAGGTGTCCATTGCATCCTTCAGTGGTGTGGTCATAGCAGGGAGTGGGAGAGCTGTGGGGCAAAGATACAGAGTCAGTGACATTGCAGAGGAACCAAACCAAGTGCCAGTCTCTGGGAAGGGATGGAGGGCCAGCTAAAGAGAGAAATTGTTACCCATACTGAAAAGCTGGGCTTTCAGTTGATCCATCCTCTTATATGCATCTGAGCAAGGATGGACTGTAATAAAATAAAATATTGTCCTGAACTCACAAGCAATTACTTCAAAAAGTAAATGGAAAGGAAGATTTTTATTTCAGAAAGTGATCTACTGTGCATCTATTTTGCAAAGCTACTGTAAAGGGAAATCTTTTGTACCCATAAGTGAAAACACAGGGAAAATGAAGGCTTACCCCCTACCTGCTCATTTAAAAGTTTTCTCAAGAAAATGAGTTCAACAAATACCAGCAGCCAAAGTGAGTGCACATTGATAAAGAAAGCTCCACATCAGTTTAGAAATGGTTAGAGGAAGAGACCACCAGTAATAAGGATGAAAGTGTCAGCTTTTTCATGTAAATTGCCTGCAATATAAATAAATGTGAGCTGGGCACTGCAAGGTTTGCTTCATCGAGCATGCAGTCAGAAGGTACACAGAGAAGCAACACCAAGAGAAAAGATGGAAATATAATTACTTGCAGAGTATCTGACTCAAAAAGTAGCTAAAAGTAGAAATCAGGTAAAAGGGAAACGCTGTTGATTAGGCCCCAGGAGAAAGTTAAAAAAGCGAGAATGTACTTCAAAGTAAGACTGGAGTCCTGAACAATAACACTGTGCAAAGGCTAAGACTTACCTGCTCTACAGCCTAGCTGAGGTGTATGCAAGAAAATACATCACAGAAGGTGATGGTCACTTTCCTTTCAAAATGCATGCACAGGCTCTCGTTTATCAGGCTGAAAGGGTAGATTACACAAATAGAGACAGACATATAATTGTCACAAGGATGGTGGGTCTTCTGTTTCCGCGTGCATTTGCCTATTCTGTTCAATAAAAGCCTCTTTCTGTAACTGGGTCACTAAAATATGCACTAGGCAGATCAGAGAGCTGTGTTTGGAACATAAGAGATATTTTTAAACATGCGACCTTTTACAAATATGCCCATTCAGGGGCCTAAAGGCCAAAATTAGAAAATGTTAAAAATCACCAAGACAGTATAAAATAACTTTCCATCATTTTCAAAAGAACTCTTTCTAATCTGTCTTTCAACACTTCTACAGTCTAAGTACCACATATCCCTTGAGACATCTACCTTAATTGTCAGATATCTCTGTAAGCCTAAAACATTGCCTCTTTCTGAATGAAATTCTTGCTGTATCCTCAGGAGGAAATGAGGGAACCAGTTTCAGAGGAAGGTGTCCCTGGAATTCCAGTGTGCACTGATCAACAGGCTTAGCTTTATTTTTATAGTTCTGCACAACAACTGCAGTTCAGCATCTCTCTCTGAATAAATGACCTTGCTGCCGGAGGGCTTTGTCTGTCCCAGCCCCAGGGGCTCGTTGACCTGGGATTGATGGCTGGGGGATGCAGGAAACAGCAGCTTCATCATAGTGGGGCCTACTTACCACCCAAGATACCAGACAACCACAGTTTTCATGATAGACACATGTAATGTAAAACTGCTTGCACTGGGTTTGTTTTCCCTCAGTAAAGCCGCCTTCTACCTGTTGCACACACACGTCCAGCAAGCACAACTGTCCAGATGAACAGGGCACAGAGCTGCAGCTCATTCTCTGTTTCATTCCAGCCAGAGGGAAAGACAATGAGGTGGGCTCTTGTCTTGGCCTCTGGGAAAAAAGGGAGGGAAGAAGGAGGTCAGGTACGTAAAAATACTGGATTCCAATGATATGGGAAGTGATCAGGCTGTTCTGTCTAGAGGTGCCTGCAGACACACACAGTGCTGTGCACAGGGCAGACACCTTCACCCCCCATTGCTGTGGTTGTGAGTGCTCACCAGGGAAGGGGAGACCCAGTGTCCAGATACATTTTAGAAATGGTCCAGGTGGAAAGAAGAGGAACAAGAGGAACGTGATCTCTCCTGGAGTCAGAGGAGAGTTGGGGAGGAGAGCTGCTTTCCATACCTCTTCTGTATTTGGCGATAGCTCATGGGTGCTTGGTTTTGTATAGGGGAAGTCCTTATGCTCCAGTAAGCACTGCGATCTAGCTGGACCATATGCAGCACGTGGGAGAAGAACATTGGTGATATCAGGCACAGCACATCTCTTCCACTCAGTTCTGGGAATTCTCTGTATCTGCAGATGCTAAGAAAAAGCATGGAGCCCTGCATGTAGCTACAGCCACAGGGTCCTGTCTTGCCTGTGATTCACTAATGCTTGTAACTATTGTTCAGAATAAAGATATCAGATAAAGATAAAAATACTCGGTTTGGGGTTTGGGTGTGGGGTTTTTTGTTTTGTTTTGTTCCCCTCTTCCCCCCATTTATTCAACAACAGTTTCACCCACAAATAGAAAAAACCCCACAGCTGAGTTAATACATAAGTATGAAATCCTTCTGTTTGTCTATATATTATTACACTGATCCTCTGGTTAATGAATATTGCAAATTAATTATCTAAGCAGAGTCTACAGGAGGTACAACTTCCAGGAAGTGGGTGTAAACTTTCAGAGCTGCCATCCTCAGGACAGAAGAAAGAAAGACATCAGCTTAATAATTTATACAGTGATATAATATGTGCAGTCTCTTTCAATAGCTCCTTTCACTCCAGCTAATTGTGTAAGAAACTTTCTTTTCCACACTAGTGGATGACATGTGCACAGTGAACAGCTGCACTGAGCTGCACTTGTTTGTTAAGAGGTCCATGCCATTTGCTGTGTCCAGTCCTTTCCTCTCTGGTTAGTCAAATCCTGCCAGTGGCTCCAGTGACAGCAGAGGTCTCACAACTTCTGTGAAGGCAAGTCCAAGCATCTACTCAAAATTCATAATTATCAGTCAACTGTTTTTAATCCCTCATCTGACACTCCAGCACAATCTGGTTTACTAGGATAGCTAATGGGCACTGGAGATAACTAAAGTCAAAGCAGACTGTGAAGCACTTCTGTACCAGGCTAAGACCTGACTTTGTGTCAGCAACCACCATTCCCTCATCAGTCCTCACCCTGCACTCTGTTTTCCATCAGGCTAAGCACAGGAGCAGCACCAGGCGTGTGGCTGAGAGAGAGAGTGGAACTGCAGCATGGCCGGAGACATGGTGAAAATCAGTGCCTTCCTCATTCATGATCAAACTTTGTCCTTCACAGCCTGCCAGATCACACAGTGCTGGTGGGAAGGCACCTCTGACATGCCTAGTCCCTCTGCCTGCTCAAAACTGGATGACCTCCAGCATCAGACTAGGCAGCCACAGCTTTGTTTAGTTAAATTCTGAAAACCTCCAAGAAAAGAAATTTGACAATGGCTTCAAACTGACAGTGTAGGTTTAGATTAGATATAAGGAAGAAATTCTTTACCGTGAGGATGGTGAGACACTAGAACAGGTTGTCCAGAGAAGGTGTGGCTGCCCCATCCCTTGAAGTGTTCAAGGCCAGGTGGATGGGGCTCTGAGCAACACGGTCTAGTGAAAGGTGTCCCTGGCCACGGCAGGGGTGTGGGAACTAGATGATCTTTAAGGTCCCTTCCAAACCAAACCTTTCTATGATTCCACTGAAGCATTCCACTAAGAATCCACTGAAGAGGTGGAGGTTGTTCCTTGCCCTGTAAATCTGAGAAAGGACCCAACCAACAGTGACTGCTGCCTTTAATTTTAGTTGGGGTAATGTAAAGGTGCACTCAGCTGGAAGGCTCTACGGGACTGCTTTTCCCCTCCTACATGGAGACGGGGTAATCAGACCACAGGCAGAAAATCTTACTGGTCTCTGCTCCCCCAAAAAATTAACATAGTTCTGCCTTGTGTGAAATCAGTGATATATATAGATATAGATATAGCAATATCTGCCCAATCCCAAGTGTGTCCATCCTCTAACTTTTGGCCTGGTCCACCCCCTGGCCCGCCTCTCGAAATTGGGTCTGGGGTGCCTTTTGGGACCCCCTCTTCATCATCTTCTTCATCTTCAGCGTACAGAGAGCAGGGTGACCCAGTTCTTTGACTCTGTCCTGCGGTTTAGGCCAAGATACAAGCGTTCTCCAACAAGACAGGGTTGCCTTGACTAAGAGACTAAACATCATCTGCTGAATATGGGAATAGGGTTGATATAGGGAGTATGGAATGGGGTGAAAGGATTAAAGAATGTATAAACTAAGGGATACTACGGGGAGGAGGGAGAAAGGGTTTCTAAAATCTACTTCTATTACTTATAAAACTTATAGGGCTTACAAAATTAGAAAAATAAAAAAAGATTAGGGGCTTAAGGCATCATCAGTCAATCATTGACATAGGTCAGCAGTCTTCTTCCTCCACAGATGGGAAGGAGAAGCTTTGGCTTATTCACCAGGATTTTTCCATGATATCTTCTTGAGACAACATGGAACAAACTGTCTTTAAGCCAGAGCAGTTTATAAAGTGCCATTCTAAGCCACAGTAAAATACTAGTTAGCTTAAGTGTGAGAATCTTGTACTTGGGGCATCTGGCTTTCAACATTTGCCAGAATGCATATGGGGAATATTTTCTCACAAGAAATTATTGTGCTGGGGAAGGCAAGTCAGCCTCCCACCTACATCCTGTCATTATTTATTTTTCCCAAACTCACACTGTTCCTGGTATGAATCAATATTGTACCCTCGAAGTGGGAAAAGGTGAAATGGGAAGTAACAGGGAACACTGCAAGGCTCAGAAGGATGTTTATACTATGCACTAAAAAGCCTATGTTAGATCAGACTCTAGATTAGAGTAAAGAGTGTATTAAATAGGTTAAGGAGTTTATAAGAGACTTACATTTGAACTAGCATTTCTTGTTAAATTATAATGAGCATTTTCACATTTTTAGGATTGTTAGCATTTTCATTAGTGGTTTGTTTCCATATCTGGGTGGCTGATTGATTTATTCATTTTTATCAGGCA